AGAATCAGCGACTAGCGGGAACGCGGGAGAGAAGGAAGAGACGGAGGGAACGAAGCCGAGGAACTCAACACAATGCGAGCGCGGTCGTCTCAGTGGGGGGGCGCACCTGCAGCTGCCGCCAACAGGCCGAACTCGGCCACTGTGTTGATTTTATTTTTGTTTTTATTGTTTATTTTTGCTTTGCTTCTTCCCCCTTGCTGGCTTGTGTTGCCTGACTTTGCTGCGTAATGGCGTTGTCCCCACCGTCTCTCACGTCCGCAACGTCTTAGCGACAGCAAAGGAAAAGTAATAATAAAGGCAAAAGTAAAAACAACCACAACCACAACCACCAGAGGGAGATTGAAGACGTAAAGGATGGAGAACCGCCTTCCTGTCACGAGCACGCTTGTCCGCTCTCACCAGGCCCCGCTGAGCGTAGTCACCCAAGAGGACCTAAAGGTGACTCGCCTCCAAGGACGCAAGTACACGAACCCAAGCAAAAAACACGTGATGCGTGCGGAGTTCTCCGACAAGATCGATCATATTATGTACGACCCCCGTCCACAGGAGGGGATGAGCTCTGAACTCCCCGTCTCCATGAGTCCTCTCCTCTGTGAGCTTGCTGCGCCTCGTCGGCGTATCCACTTCAATCCACCGGAGACGGTGATTGGCATTGTTACGTGCGGAGGTATTTGCCCGGGTCTGAATGACGTGATTCGCTCCTTGACATTGACTGCCGTCAACACCTACCGCGTGAAGCGCGTCATTGGCTTCCGCTTTGGCTACTGGGGCCTCTCAAAGGAGGGGGCTCATACCGCCATGGAGCTGTATCGCACCTCTGTCACAAGCATTCACCGCTACGGTGGAACAATTCTGGGCAGCAGCCGCGGTCCCCAGGACCCCAATGAAATGGTCGACACCTTGGAGCGGCTTGGTGTTAACATCCTCTTCACCGTGGGTGGTGATGGCACCCAACGTGGTGCTATGACGCTTGCGGAAGAGGCCAAAAGGCGTGGTGCCAACATCGCCGTGTTTGGTGTTCCCAAGACCATTGACAACGACCTCAGCTTTTCGCACCGCACATTCGGTTTCGAGACTGCAGTGGATAAGGCGGTGGAGGCTGTTCGTGCTGCATACGCTGAGGCCATTTCGCTCAACTACGGTGTTGGTGTCGTGAAGCTTATGGGTCGTGACAGCGGTTTTATTGCGGCAGAGGCGGCTGCGGCGAGTGCTCAGGCAAACATTTGCCTTGTTCCTGAGAACCCCATCCCAGAGGAGGTTGTGATAAAGCTCATCGAACGTCGCTTTGAGACCTCCCGCAGCTGCGTCATTATTGTGGCGGAGGGCTTTGGCCAAGACTGGGTAAACGATACCGGTGGCCATGATGCGTCAGGCAACAAGAAGCTTGTGAACATTGGCGTCATTCTCACGAGGCGGATTAAGGCATGGCTTGCGGCAAATAAGAAGCGCTACCCCAATGGCACGGTGAAGTACATCGATCCTTCCTACATGATTCGGGCCTGCCCGCCCTCGGCAAATGACGCTCTCTTCTGCGCCACCCTTGCCACACTTGCGATGCACGAGGCAATGGCTGGTGCAACCAACTGCATCATTTCCATGCGTTACAACAACTACATTCTTGTGCCCATCAAGGTGGCCACTTCGGTGCGCCGTGTGTTGGACCTCCGCGGTCAGCTCTGGCGCCAGGTGCGCGAGATCACAGTGAGCCTGCGGGACAACGTGCGCGACTGCAGGGAAACCGAAGTCCGTCGTGAGCTGGAGGCAATCAGCTTGGTTCGGGAGCGCCTGATCGAGGAACTCTCAAAGTTGTAAGGCGGCGCGCCATTCCGTCGCACTTGGGACGGCGCGGTTCCCCACCAAGAAGGGAGAGAGAGAGAGGAGGT